TGATAAGCAAAGGTCACTCTAGGCACAGACGTTGGTGAGTGAACAAATGGTAACTGAAAGCCTTCCACGTCAAGAGCAAGTGATAACGTTTAGCTGTTGCTGACCCAAGAGCCTGATTCTCCTCAGCATCAAGAGTTTTCCTCTGGGGTGAGACCTTAAGGCCCTCACTTGAGGGACTTTAAATCATTCTCAGTGCTCATCCATCACACAGAACAAGAGTGGGTTATACAATACCTCCACACTGACCACAGACTCTAATTTCAGAAGAAAGAATGAAAACAGGCCACCACCACTTATTTTCATGACATTCATCCAATGAGTAAAACCAGATTTCTGTTCCCGAATATCACCCCCTCTCTGAAGGCTCTTTCTTTTCCTAAATCTCTGGGCTTTACGAATATATTTTGGATAGAAGAGCATAATAAAAACTGTACATTCCTTGCCTTGGATAAGAAAGCCTGGTGGTGGTCCCTCCAAGAGAGGAATAAGGCAGTGGATTTCCCCAAGCTCCTGCACCTTGTCTCCCTGAGTTTTACCAACTTTAGTCCACTAATTTAAAGTTTTACCAACTTTAGTCCATTAATGACCTCCCACAAATTTGGGAAATTCTCCTCAGGTAGAGAAGCCCAGACACTCAGTTTGCAGCGGAGGGTGGGGGGGGGGACATTCGTGACTCCAATGGGGGCAGGGACACATCTGCTCCTGTGAGGGGAGCCTGGGCAGCTGTGGACAGCTGCGGCCCTCCCTGCTGTTCAGAATGAACATGTTGGGATCCATTGTGGCCTGATGGGGCTGAGCAGGCAGTGGACTCTGGGGACGCCCCACAGAAAGGACACTGCCATTGATTTCCTTCCCAGAGATGTTAGCTGAGTGGGCCTCGGCAGGGCAGGGTGGGGGTGTTGCGGTCAAACCACCCATTATTGAGCCTTTCTTTGTGCAGGGGAGTTGCTGCTTGTGTGCAATGGCTGAAGAACTCCCTAAACGCCAAATTAAGTAGAGACCAAGTCATTTCTCCACAGCAATGTAGATTGCCAGGCTGACCACTTGTATCAAACCACATTCTCTTCTTTCTTACTCTTCCTTAATTATCCCAGGAATCCAGGTCAATGAAGGGTGAGGGTTTCCTGCACAGAGGAGGAGAGGAAGAACAGAAGCGTTGCACTATTTGGATAATTTCCTTGATCTGAACGGGATTCCGAAAGTAGACTTGCATGCTAAGGGACAGAGATGGCCTGCCCTACCTGGGTTACAAGGGTCACAGGTGCCCCAGTTTTCAGGAGCTACAAATATGGGGCAAAGGAGGGTCCCCCAAGCTGGAGCAAACACTGGGGACCTTTGAGCAGGGAGAGAGTCCTGTCAATGATCTGTGGATTCAAGGAGTGTCCCATCTGCCTAGGGAAGCAGCCCGCCCCTTCCTGTGCCTCACGCTCCCCTGCCCCACCCCCGCCCCGCGCCCCTGCCCTTGCCACCAGCCGGAATTCTGGAAGCCCTGACCCTCTCCAAGGAATGTTGAATGGCCTTTACAATGTTAGCAACAAAGGGACGTCCCTTTGATAACTGAGTTGTGGCTGCCCTATAGTCTTCCTGATGCTTTATTTACCTGGGTCTCTTTCTTCCCACCCACTCCTGCCCTTAAAAGCTTGCTTTAGCGCTGGCTTCATGGGGTCACATTCAGCCTCAGCCCAACCCCAGCCCCAAGCTTGCCACCAGTGTGCCTCCTCCAGAACAATTTGCTGAAGGCTTCTCTGGTGGGGCAGCTGGTTGGAGACCAGAGGTACCGGCTGGAAAGGAGCCTTGAGCTGAGAGGTTGGGGATGACCATCCCAGGCAGTTCTCAGCTCAGGCGAAAAGGTTCTAAGAAAGCCACCAAGCACCTTGGGTCCTGGACTGAGAAAGCTCTCCCCTGGGGCTCTGATGCAGGTGGTTCCTACACCCTTCCAGGCCATACATCTGCACCCAAAGGTTGGCGGAGTCCCATCCAGAGCAGGCCTCCAGAGGATAGGCACCTGACAAAGACCCACCAGAGGCTAAGCCATCATGAGGAAAAAATACCCAGACTTCCTTCTCATCAGCCACCTTCCACTGCTCTCTGACGGCCCCTGCCACCCTACCTCTTGGGGACTCAGAAGGGCCTCTTGGTTGAGAGGGCAACCAGATGTGAGACATTTCCAATCTGAGGAGCTTGTCCAAGAACATCAGTAGAGGCTCCTTTCCCTCACCAAACAGCCCAGACCCAGGGCCTTGGGGGAGGGGTGTGTGTGCTCCTGCCATGCAGGCCCATTTGCCATGAAGAAAACCAATTGTTTTTTCACTATGATTTCCTTTCTCCAGCTCTTGCACCCCAGGTGAGCCTCAGGTTTACCTGTGGTCCAGCCAACGCTGGGGCCTGGCGTGACCCCTGGGGCCAGAGCAACCCTGGCCGCTCCCAAAGCATTTGGGCGGGCAGGCCAGAACCCTTTCTCGGGGGCAGAGCACAGAGACACAGCTGGAAAACCGGGACAATTAGCCAGCGGCCGCGGCTGGGCCATAAAAATGCAGGAAGCGGCCACTGCAGGGCGGAGGGAATGGCTGTCCCCAATAAAGTGATTGTTCCAAAGAATGCCCACATTCCGAAGACACAGGCTTGAGCCTGGGCCTCAGCTTCCAGAGCTCGAGGCTTGGGAGGGGGTTGTGGGGGGACAGAAAGAGGAATTGTGTCTCCAGGAAGAGGAGGAAGATGTTTGGTAGATCAAAAGTCTGCAGTGCCCACCACTTAACCTCCCACATTCTCAGCCCATTCTCATCAGGACTGCAGACTCCCCCTGTCTCCCCCTGTCCCCCAACTCAATGATTTGGGTTCTGTAATGGGACTTGCAATGTATTTCCTCTTTTATTTCTCGAGAGGTCCAATGACACTCAGCTGTCTAGGCCAGGCGGGTAGGTCCACATGGAGGACCTGCTCTGTCTCCCACCTCTTGAGTGCTCAGCTCTCTGACCTTCCACCGACCCCTGATTTTTAAGCATCTTCCTTAGGAAAAGCAAAGGACGGGAGGGACCAGCAAGCAGGAGATCCCACAGCCCTGGGCTAGTTCAGATCCTACTTGAGCCAGGCCTCTCTCCACTCTTCAGCTTTGGTGGGTGTCATCTGTAAAATGGAGATGCCAACACCAGCTTTGTTCCCCATCTAGGGAGATGTGAGGATCAAGGGAGATAAAGGGCACTGGAAGGAGCTCTCCAGAGATGAGAAGGGGAAGTGACAAATACCAGGGAGCGCTTGACAATGAGAACCGACAAGTGCAGATCTGGAGATGAGTGGCTAGCGTCCCGCTGGTTCCGAGACCGTTCAAAGCCACCCAGACGTCTTGCCCAGTCTGCGGACCAGGCTGCTGTGATCCTCAAATCCTAGTCTGGCAGCGCGGGCTGGGCTTGGAGAGAAGGCTTGGAAGGCTACCGCGGGTCCGCTCCCTGCGGTAGCTAAACGGAGATGGGCGATGGGCGAGTGCGCAAGACGACTCGCATCGCCTTGTGTTCCTGTCGGGGCAGTTCCCGAGCCAGGCCGCGCAACACAGGTCTCAGCAGCCGCCACTGAGCCCTGGGCCCCTTGACACAGTGCTTCAAAACCAAGGAGGAGCCTTTCTCAACTCTTCCCTACTCGGAGTTCTTCAGAAGCAATCGTTACTAATGGCCCGGGTTCCCTTTCGGACTCCTAGAGATGAAAGACAATTTTCTTCAGATAGTGTTTTACTGTGTAAAGCAGAAAGTCTTTTTAAGACAAAGGTATGATATATGACATATACCTAGGTACCTATTAGCAGAAATTCTGGCTCTTCTTTCCTTGATTTTTAACCACTTATTTAAGTAAAATAAACATGTCCGTGTGGGCTCGCTGAATCTTCGCAGACAACAACATACTGTGTCACCAGCACCCTGCTCAAGAACCGAGAACTTTGCCAGCACTCTAGCAACCCCTTTTTGCCCCCCCTCTGTTACTGCCCTCCACTAGTCTGACTTCTACCACAGTCTCCTTGGTTTGACAATTTTGAGTCTTGGATGTAAATGCTTTTTAAAAAATTAATTGCCTTAATTTAACTTAAATCCCAAATGTGAGATGAACTCGGAGATGCAGCCTGAAGCTAGGGTCCTCATTTATGTCGTGAGAGAGGCAAGAGTTTCTTTGGGGGAAGAAAATAACCGATTAGCAGTGACAGTTGTTTGGCGCGACAGTCGTTCTGGCCAGGCGCTTCAGAGAGGGCAGGCACCGGCTCATCTCTTAGGGCTCGGCTCGTCACCTCTCGGGTTGGTCAAAAACGTTGTCATCAAAGTAATGGCTTCCCTTTTCTTTTCTCTTTGGTATAGAAGGAGCTTCTTGATGCCCCCCCCACCCCGCAAATGCATACACACTACTACTCAGTTTCTAAGCCCAGATTCCCACCAAGATAGCTCTCCCCCCCCACCTCTTTTGCAAGTCTCTTGATTTCATTCTTTGAACCTGTGATTGGAGGTTAAAGTGCACCAGGTTGGAAGGAGGAAGCTCTTAACAATAAAGGTTTGAATATTTAGCTGTGATCGGGTCTCTGGAGCTCCCCCCCATCCCCTTATCTTTTAAAATGCAAATCGTGTTTCGGGGGGTTGTGCGCCGGGTGCGCGCTGCGCCTCGACGTCTCCAGCCATTGGTGTCTGTGTCATTACTAATAGAGTCTTGTAAACACTCGTTAATCACGAAAGGCCGCTGGCCTGGGGCTCCGCACTCCAGCCTGTGGCGGGTCTTCCCCGCCTCTGCAGCCCAGTGTGAAGGAGGTGGGAGGAAAGAAGGAAGAAAGGGAGGAGGGAGGAGGCAGGCCAGAGGGAGGGACCGCCTCAGAGGCAGAAGCGCCGCGAGGAGCCAGCGGAGCTCCGCGGGCTGGGGCGCAGCCAGCCGCCCTTCTCCGCGCCCCCTCGCCCCTTCCCCTTCGCGCCCTCCGGCAGCCTCCAGCGTCGGTCCCCAGGCAGCATGGTGAGGTTTGCTGTCGGGCCCTCGCCACCATGTACGTGAGCTACCTCCTGGACAAGGACGTGAGCATGTACCCCAGCTCCGTGCGCCACTCTGGCGGCCTCAACCTGGCCCCGCAGAACTTCGTCAGTCCCCCGCAGTACCCGGACTACGGCGGCTACCATGTGGCGGCTGCGGCCGCCGCGGCCGCGAACTTGGACAGCGCGCAGTCCCCGGGGCCGTCCTGGCCCGCAGCGTACGGGGCCCCGCTCAGAGAGGACTGGAACGGCTACGCGCCGGGGGGCGCCGCGGCCGCCGCCAACGCCGTCGCCCACGGCCTCAACGGGGGCTCCCCGGCCGCCGCCATGGGCTACAGCAGCCCCGCCGACTACCACCCGCACCACCACCCGCACCACCACCCGCACCACCCGGCCGCCGCGCCTTCCTGTGCCTCGGGGTTGCTGCAGACACTCAACCCCGGCCCTCCCGGGCCCGCCGCCACGGCCGCCGCCGAGCAGCTGTCCCCCGGCGGCCAGCGGCGGAACCTGTGCGAGTGGATGCGGAAGCCCGCGCAGCCGTCCCTCGGAAGCCAAGGTAGGCGGTGGCGGCGTCCCGCAGGACGGGGCTGCCCGGCGGGCCGCATGTCCCGGGCGGACGGAGGCGTCCAGAGCTGTCCAGGAGCTCCGCGCCAGGAGGGCCGGGGCGGGAGACCAATTCAGGGGGCCTCGACTGCGGGGCTTCTCTCCTGCGCCTGGGCTGGCTGGCGGGGGGGGGGGGGGGGGCGGGCGGGGGGGCAGTGAATATTTTGGTTTCCCAGCCCGTGTTCGGTTTAGGGCAGAGGAGCACCTTCCTCTTTCCAGGGGTCCTTCATTCGTACCGTCCCAACACTCTCGGGACACTCCCCGGAATGTCGGCGTAGCACGGCTGTGCAGGAGCGCCGCCTCCCCACTTGCTGCGGCTCGCGCTGGGTGCGCAGCTTCGAGCCGCGGGGCAGAGGAGCCTCGCACTCGACCGGGCCGGGCCATAGAGCATTTCTTTCCACGCCATTGAGCCACTCAAGAAGAATGGTGGCCTGGGGGACCAGGAGGGCTGAGAGGCTGTGCGTGGAACCACATTCGGCCATTCGGGCCAATTCAAGGGATCTCAAGAGCTATGGCGAGTAGGGAGACCCGGCAAAGCTGCAGTTGCGGGAATGGCCCCAGGAACCAAGGGGAAAGGAGCGCGCCCCCTCATTGAACCTTTGATTTGCAAAGGAGTTAGTTCAATCAAAAGCTGGAGGGCTAGGGGCAAGAAGTCGTGGGGGTCCTCCTGTGTATGCGGAGGGGGAAGGGGAGGAATCCTTGGGGAGGATTCAGCCTCTGCTCCAGACAGGGATCATTTCTCCCCACCCTTCCTTTCCAGGGTCTCAGGGTTTTGTGTGTGTGTGTGTGTGTGTGTGTGTGTGTGTGTGTGCGCGCGCGCGCACGCGCACCTACGTTCAAGAAGCTTGCTCAGATGTCCCTGCAGACATCCTAGGCTTGCCAGATTGTGGGGGCTCATTAGTTCCGGGTCTGCCCCTTCTGATACCGGGATGTGTGTCAAAGTGGGAAGGAAACGCGAATAGGTGTGGTGGGAGAGTCCTGTTGGCGTCCCCTTTGCACTCCTCGAAGTCCTCCTAGCCCTCTGCACTTCCGCTTTTTTTTTTTTTTTTTTTATCTTCCCTTCTTTCTGGCCCAGCCCGGCCCGCATACAGGTTATGGCCACTTTGCAGAGGTTTATAGCCAATTACAGCCGTATAAATCAGAGAAGTCCTTGGGGGCTGTCTCTGGGCATCGGTATTTGCGTCACTAGGCACATGGCGGGTGGGAAATGCGGCCGCCCAGGGAGAAGGCCACAGGGCCAGCCTCGGAGCCTCGGCTAGGTCCCTTCCCCAAGAGGAGGCGCCGTCGTCTGAACAGAGCCCCGTCTCAGAGAAGGCTCTCTCTTAGGGAGCCTGCCTGGGGCGCGACTGGCAGCGACAGGGGCCTCTAAGGGAGACCTTTGGTGTGTCCCGGGAGAGTGGCCGCCGGGCCTGGGCCGGGGAGGGGGAGAGGGAGGGGAGCCACAGGAGCCCAGGCCGCGGGGTCAGCAGATGAGAGGCCGCTGTGATGTCCCGCGCCGAGGTGGTAAGGCCGCAGTCGGCGCCGGGCGCCCTTGTGATGTTAATGTCGGGAGGCCGCGGCCCGCGGGCCAGAGCCCGACTCCTCTGCGGAGCATCATCTGTCAAGGGCCTAGGGGGTTGGTCCTCGGCCCGGCTCGCTTTGATATACACCTTCCCAGCCCTGCCATTGTCTCTTTTAGGGCCCGGAAAGAGGGTGGTGACTTTCGCAGTCAATAATGAATTCTCACAAGTCCCTCTCATCTCTCCCCTCCTCCAGCCCCCTCCTCGGTTCCCAGGGGGTGCGGGGCGCCTCCAAGGCCCTTGGGGCGCGGGGCGCGGCACGCTCAAGGGTCCTGGTCACCGCGTTCCCGGCCCATCCGGGGTACTGAAAGGGGGGCGCTGGAGCAAGAGCCACTCCCAAGCACCCCAAGGCGAGCACCGCTATGAGATGTTCAGCTCCGAGAGCTTTATTTGCGCCCTGCTCCCCAGCCCTGGAGGTGCGCGTTAGGCTCCAACCTGGCAGCAGTGTCAGCCGCGCCTGATACTACCTGCGTGACCTAGTCTCATTCTCAGTTTTCTCATCTGTAAAACGGGGCGACTACCGCTGGCAGCCTCGAGTGGGTTTGAGGCGGGTAACGCGTGTGAACGCGCCCTCCACTTGGAAAGCTCTCAGAACGTGTTAGTTCTCTTCACTTTCCTAGCCGGCGCGGGGTCCGGGCCGCTGCGCCCATTCAAATGCGCCTGCCGGGCCGTGTTTATGTTAATGCGCCTGGCGGGGAGGGGGATAAAAGCCGGGACCGCCATTTGCTCAGTAGTGGTAATTCAAACAGAATGCGGTTGTTATTAAGGCATTGAAAGAGCTTTTCTTTGATAAGATCGCCTTGTCCTGCATTGTTTGCGGCTGTGTTCCCCTTTCAGCGGCTCGGGGGAGCTCCCTCTGATCCCGCCTGTATCTTCCCAGGGCGCTTTTGTTGTGGTTTGCAAAGGGTTCTACCTGAACAAAGTCGGCCTGCGGGGCATTAAACACCTCCAAGAAACTCCCAGACCCTTTAGATCTTCCTGTAGGACTGGGCACCGGGCGGCTGAACCTGTTCGGCTGCAGGAAGACCTGGACCTGGGGCCGCGCGGAGGGAAGAGCTCCCGGCCAGGGCCCTGCCAAGGGTTGACCCAGGACAGACCCGGGGCAGACGCCAGGCTCGGGCCTGCTCCAACCACGACGGCACTATTTGTCAAAGCCCTTCAGTAAAACAATCCATCTGAGGTTTAATATGTTGACTCAATCCAATGAGCATAGATCACTGGTCTGGATAGCTCTGGCAGAGTTTGTAGCAGAAATAAATGGGGGATTAAAAAAGAAAAAGTGCTAAATGCCAAATCAGGTTCTGCCAGGTATACAGTGTTGCCGGCGGGAGGGTTTTTCTGCCTGCCAGACCCCAGCTCAGAATTCCACCCGATGGGCCAAGATTTTGGTGACTTGAGGGAATCTGTCAGCTCCTGCACCCACTTTTCCACTTTTAATAAAGCAAACAGAAAGTAACACCACCATCCCACACATTGTCACCAGCACACCCCCCACATCCTCAGCTGTTTTTAGGGTGGTCTTCCATCTCTGGCAGGCCTGAAAATCTGAGTACTCCCAGGACTCTGGAGATTCGTCCTGCCCCCTTGCCCTTTGGGCCTAGCCTGCCGCAGTACTATATTTGGTTTCCAGAAGGGTGGTTGGGTTCTGTTATCATGTGCCTATGCAGTTTTAGTTTTTCTTCATATTTAAAAACCACTTAACCCCAAGGTTAGTTTAGTTGTCTTGGATAGCCTCGCACCCTCCCCTCAGGACCCCCTGGGGGGTCTTGTCAGACCTGGCAGGAACCAGCCAAACCCTGGCCCCCTGGGGCGATGGAGGAAGAGAAATGGCCCTTGGGTTAGGGAGGTTTGTCATTACCCATGACTGATGGGCCACCTTGCAGTTCTCAGCCTAACTTCTCCTTTCTCCACAGTGAAAACCAGGACGAAAGACAAATACCGAGTGGTGTACACGGATCACCAGCGGCTGGAGCTGGAGAAGGAGTTTCACTACAGTCGTTACATCACCATCCGGAGGAAAGCCGAGCTGGCTGCCACACTGGGGCTCTCTGAGAGGCAGGTGGGAACCGCCTTGCTCCCTCCAGGGCCTGGTCACTGGCTGGGGGGGTTGGGCGGGGGCATTCCTCAGGCATAGTTAGAAGCTGGACCCCAGAATCCACCCAGTTGTGTGGGCAGATTAAAGTAGGAGAATAGAGGGGCACCTGGCTGGCTCAGAGCATGCAACTCTTGATCTCGCAGTTGTTGAGTTCAAGCCCCACGTTGGGTGTAGACCTTAAAGTAAGTAAGTAAGTAAGTAAATAAATAAATAAATCCGGAGGATAGAGAGTATTTCCTTCCGAATGCTTTTAGAAAAGTCCTTCCACCTCTAGTTGTCTTTTTTGGATGTTGATTTTTTTTTTCCCCCTATTCTCCGGGACCTGGAAGGTGCAAGAAAAAAACTGAGTAATAGTTTATTTTTTATTTTTTTAAGATTTTATTTATTTATTTGAGAACGAGAGAATGAGAGAGAGCACGAGAGGGAAGAAGGCCAGAGGGAGAAGCAGACTCCCCGCTGAGCAGGGTGCCCGATGTGGGACTCGATCCCGGGACTCCGGGATCATGACCTGAGCTGAAGGCAGTCGCTTAACAAACTGAGCCACCCAGGCGCCCTGGAAAAACTGAGTAGTTTAATCCAGAATTCTATTTCGGTGCAAGAAGACTTACAGACCTATTTTCTTTGTGCCCAGCACCATACCTGGGGAAAAATTAATATAAGACCCTAATCCCTGCCCATAAAAACGAGAGTGAGGCTTGACTCATGAACACTCCATATGGTCTAGAAAAAAACCAGGCCAAATCCACCCCTGGGAAGCCCCACATTAAATCTCGTTCCCAGGGGACGCCTGGGTGGCACAGTCGGTTAAGCATCTGGCTCTTGGTTTCGGCTCAGGTCGTGATCTCAGGGTTGTGGGATCGAGCCCAGTGCAGAGTCTGCTTGGGACTCTCTCTCCCTCCCCCTCTGCCCCTCCTACCCCCCATGCACCCGCACACGCACACGCACGCCCTCTCTCTCTCTCTAATAAATGGATAAATCTTTTTTTTTTTAAATCTCATTCTCAGCTTTAAGGTGAGGAGTATTACGTTTCAGTTTAGGTTTGAGAGGCCCAAGGTTGTCATTTTGAAGTATATCCATGCTGGTCTTCTCTTGCTTGTTGTAGAAAAGGCTCTGCAGTTTCTGTTTTCCCTGGTTCTGAGACTCTGAACTCTTGCAGTAAAGCTATAGATAAAGGCTGCTTTGGAAGGAAACGTGGCGAAGGAGGAGGGAGGAAGGCGCTTCTCTGCCGAGGCCGTCGTGGGCTCGGGGGAGGGCTGCAGCGCTGGGCTGTCCTGGGGCTCTCAGATGGAAGGCTGGGAGAAGGCCTGGGGGTCCTTGAGTCCAAGGGGGCACTTTTTCAGCTGCAGAGGGACATACTGCTGCTGGTGCTGAGGGCCATTCCTTTTTCCTCCTGCATCGGCTCCTTCACCACCCTCTGTTTTTCTCTGCTTTCTATTTCTAGGTTAAAATCTGGTTTCAGAACCGCAGAGCCAAGGAGAGGAAAATCAACAAGAAGAAGCTGCAGCAACCACCGCCTCCACCGCAAGCCCCGGCGCCTGCCCCGCCGCCTCCCCAGCCGCAGCCAGGCCCTCTGAGAAGCGTCCCGGAGCCTCTGAGTCCCGTGTCTGCCCTGCCAGGCTCAGTGCCGGGCTCCGTCCCTGGGGTTCTGGGCCCAGCAGCGGGGGTGTTAAACCCCACTGTCACCCAGTGACCTACAGTGGCCGGCAGCAGCAGAGCGATTCCGGGCTGAGCCACGGGGCGCAGAGACTCGGCTAGAATCCTCAGGAGAGAGCCGCTCCCCTCCCATGCACAAATGCACGCCCGCTCACCTAGCTCTCAGAGGAAAAATGGGGGCCGGGAGTAAAGACAAGTGGGGTCGGAGGCCTCAAGGAAGACATTCTCCCAGATTTGGACTTCTTCTGGTCTTTCTGCCAGCCAGATGGGCTGTGACAACTGGGGCTTCGTTTAGTACTGGCAGAAGCATTGCCTGGACTGGCTAACCAGACCAGACTTTCAGCCCCATCCTCCCCAGCTCTTGGCCTCCAGAATCTGCGGGACGGGACGCATGTCTGGTCGAAGCTGAGGGGAGAGAGGGACTCAGGGGGAATGCCAGTGCTTGAAGCCAAGGTGGCTACTGCCTACTCACTGCCATTCAAGGGCCGGCTGGTCCCTCCTGCCTCAAGGGCAGGCAAGATTTAACTGCAAAAGTCAGAGGCAGCTAAGATAGAAACCTGGACCTGCCAGAGACTGCAGAACCCCCAGGTCTTTGTCTTTCTTCTCTCCCCTTCCCAGACCAGGAAAGGCTTGGCTGGTGTTCTGTGCGGTGCATGGTGTGAGGGGCGTGGTTATTGGACTCCAGGCCTGACAAGAGGGCCCAGGACAGGGCCTTGTTTAGAAAGCCTGTCACCAGAGCTTCTCTGGGCTGAATGTATGTCAGTGCTGTAAATGCCAGAGCCAACCTGGACTTCCTGTCATTTTCACAATCTTGGGGCTGATGAAGAAGGGGAGTTTTTGTTGTTGCTGCTGTTTGGGTTGTTGGTCTGTGTAACATCCAAGCCAGCATTTAAAAAGCCTTCTGGATCCATGGGGAGAGAAGTGATATGGTGAAGGGAAGTGGGGGGTATTTGGACACAGTTGCAGTTTTTCTAAAAAGAAAAAAAGAGAGAGATAAATGAGCTTTCCAGATTTCAGATTCTGTATTTATCGTCTTCAGATTTTATCCGGAATTATTATTTTTTTTAAGAAATGAAATATCTTGTCTACTTGCAAGCTAGTATTAGAAAAATCAGAGACAGGGTGGAGAAGCTTATCTGGACAACCTCATTTTACCCCAGAGCATCAGAAGCCTGAGGGAGCAGGTTCTGAGACCTTCCCTGCCCCCAAGCCTGAGCCCAACCTTGGATTGTGGAATGTGTGGTTCTCCTGGGGGTGCCTTTGGGCAAAATGCACATCTGAATGGTCAGCTGCTTCCAAGCTGCCGAGAATTATGGGGGTGAGGTGGGGGTGAGAGAGTCCCCTCCTAGCATCTCATCAAATCCGCACTGATGCAGCTGCAGACATCACCCTTCATCAGTGATTCCCTTCACCCTAGGGATGTCCCGCAGTCCAGCTAGCTAAACATAAGCATTCAGTAAAAATGTTCTATTTTCTGTTCTCTCAAGGGAACATTTCCAGGAATACAGTCTTCTGTGAATCACCGGGCATTTCTCTGAGCCTTGTGTGTCTCCACTCCTTGCCCTGTGTTGCAAAACTCCCTCCCTTGCCCCACACCCACCCCCCACTCCACAAAGAATTCAAGAACCATTATAAGGGGACCCTTTTAGAGGCGGGTGCTTATTATCTGGCGGATCCGCGGGGCACCGGGCTGCTGCCCTTGAGGTTCTGGGTGCTGGAAGCCGCCGAGCTGGGCGCTCTGCGCAGGCAGGGCCTGGGGAGGAGGGCTTTGCTCTCCGTTTCGGTCTTCCCACAAGCACCTTCGAGCCCTAACCGCTGCCCCAGAAGAGGGAGGAGGTGGCCCGAGGGCTGGGGAGGAAGAGCAGAGCAGCAAGACCTAAATACCGCCTGCAGCATCTCCCCGGTTCTGCGGCCCTTCCGGGTGGCATTCCGCTCCCGGATTGAGAAAGGGGCTCTGGTGGCCGGGCCCGCGGGCGCCTGGCTCAGAGCTGGACGGAGAGTGCCTGGCCCGCCTCTCGGGCTTGGGTGGGGTGGGGAGATCCGCCGAGCAGGGGGTGGTGTTCCAGGCCAGGTTGTCCGCACCCCCCCACCCTCTCTCCGGCCTCCGTGCCCCCTGGGGAGTCCGGCGCTGGGAGGAGAGCGAGGACCCGCACCCGGCCGCGCCCACACGTCCGCCCCCAGCCGCCGCAGCGGTTGCTATGCGTTGCTGTGAAACGCCTGTCAATAAACCCTGTTTGGACAGTGGAGCGAGAGCACAAGGGTTGTTTGCTTAGTGGTTAGAGGTTCAAAAGTCAGCATTGTCCCGCTGCAAGCGATTACAAGTTCTTCCCCTCGCGGGGTCCAGCCCCCTTGCACTGACGCCCGCCGCGGGCCCGCGCCCCGCGCATCCGGGGCGAGGAGGGGCGCTCGGCTGCTCTCTGAAATGCAGGTCGGGGGCTAGTCTCCCGGGTCGTGAAGGGGGGGCGAGCAAAGAGGGCGCCCGCTGGCAAGCGAGGCCACCGCACTTGCGACGCCAGGAGTCGCCCCTGGAGCAAACCTGAGGCAACACGGGGACTTGGCGCGAGTGGGCAGTCTCGCCCGAGGAGGCGTAGGGAGGTCCGCGCTGGGACGCCCTTGTCTATTTTTGATAGGATGACTTCGCTGCTCCCAGGGCCTCCCGCTCTAGGACCGGGATGACTAGCCCTCCCTCGTCGTTCCTTGGCCCTCCCAGCGCCCTCCGGGAGCTCCGGCCGCCAGGAGGCGCGCGCGCTCTTGGAAGAGCCGGGTAGGAGCCCGCGCTCCCCTCGGGACTCTTGAGCCGATCGGAAAGGAACTTAGTTCTGACCCAGCTGGAAGGTTGCAAGCTCTAGCGCCCCTCCCACCGCAGCTGCTCCCAAACTGGGGCACGGCGAGATTTCCCCACTGCGGTCGTGGGGCGGCTGAAACGAAGTTCAAGCTAGTCAGGCGCAGGAGATTCTTGGATCTGCTGAGTGTTTAAGAAAAACACATTTGGGTGAGGGGAGCTATTGGCCATTCTAAAAGGGCCTTCTTGCACAAGATGTTTCTTTTTTAAAAAATTACAGTAATATGGGTACAATATGAATATATAGGAAAACTGTGAACTTAGAATAAATATGGGGAAGAATGTACCTTTATTGTGGAACTCATGTCAAAAAAGGCATATATAGGGAAGCCTGCCAGGCTCGGTCCGAAAAGCGTTCTACTCTTGATCTCAGGGTCATGAGTTCAAGCTCCATGTTGGGCGGGGTTAAAATAAGAAAAATATATCAAAAAAGAGTTTTTTTTTAACAGCATATATGGGTAGAAGACAGCCTGAGTCTTTTTTCTTCTGTGAACAAATTCATGGCTTTATCATATTCATCCAATAAAGTTAGCAAGATGGGCGCTAATGAGAGCCATAAAAGTTTCAGTTTCTTTTTAGCTTCACTTCTTTCTGACAATATCTGTAAGAGGCCTACATCAGTCAAGAAAACTAATCTTAAATAGAAATCTTAATATATAAACAGCAGTATTCTTGCTGTTGTTATTCACAGCCACTCAGGAAAAAATAAGAGAAGGCAAATAAAGCATAAACAAAAAAAACGTCAGTTACATGGGGCGCCTGCTGGTTGGGTCTGCAAAGCATGCAACTCTTGATCTCTGGGTGGTGAGTACAAGCCCCAAGTTGGGCTTACTTAAAAAGAAATCTGTAGAAGTTTCAAGGGGCATTATTTGTACTTTGATTTAGAGACAGGCTGCTATTTACTGGTTTAATGACCTTGGGGAGATCCCTGCCACTAATAGGGGAATCAAATAAGGTAAAGTAAGGGAATGCAATTTACAATATACACTTAGGATTAATCCCCAATAAAGACAAGAACTACTGCTGCTTTTGATCATGAACCATCTTTTGCAAAGTGTGCAAGAATCCTTACAAAGAACCTTTGAGCAAGGGTAATTTCTCAAGTCACCTCTGAAGTTTTTCTAATTCATTGAGTTTTTCTTACTTTGTCAAGTAGTCCCCAGTCCGTTGTCTCTTGATTTCCACTGCCCAGGCATCTGCATAAAATCTCAAGTGGCAAAGTACTAACATTCCAGGCATGAAGATGAGTCCCTGATGTGCATAGTTGACTTGCCTTTTCACCTACCATTAAGGATATCCCCAAACACTTGTAGTAGTATTTGGGAAATTCATATTAGTTGAGGATGTAGTTAGAAACTTCCTTATAATGATCAGGACACTTTCAAGCCAAAGGGGGCAGAGAGGAAAGTACTCTAACTAGATGGCATTGAAAGTTTATTTTGAAGCAATTTCCATTCCAACACCTCAGTATCAATTCTGTACTCTTCCGGGAGCCACCCCAAAAAGCTGCTGTGGATTTAATTTTTTAATGCCAATTCATCCCTTGAGATGATTTCAAGCATTTTACTCTAGTCCCCATGATTTTCCCTGACATTGAATAAAACTACAGCAACAGATCTTGTGTTAGATTAGTTTTGTGCTTTGGAGGATAAGAAACACACTCATTTCTAATAATGTAGATTAACTTGTAAATATTTAAAATTAACGTTTATTTTCTTAAATTACATCGAGACCATACAAACTTCTAACCTCTATAATTATTTTTTTAAAATTTTATTAACCCCTATAATTCTTACATTTAGTCTTATTTTCCTTTTCCTTTTTCTTTTCACCTTTTTTTTAAAGATATTTATTTATTTGAGAGAGAGAGAATGAGAGATAGAGAGCACGAGAGGGAAGAGGGTCAGAGGGAGAAGCAGACTCCCCCCGCTGAGCAGGGAGCCCGATGTTGGGACTCGATCCCGGGACTCCAGGATCATGACCTGAGCCGAAGGCAGATGAGCCGAAGGCAGATGAGCCGAAGGCAGTCGCCCAACCAACTGAGCCACTCAGGCGCCCTCACCTCCTCTTTTTCTACAAGTGGATGACTATAATTTTAGGAAACCAAGCAGGCTTTATTGGTAACTGTGGAATTGGCTTAGTGATACTGGGCCAAAACAATCACTAAATGTCTTATTAGCTACAAACCAGAGGGA